ACACACACACACACACACACACACACACACACACGTGTATACACAGTGTTGCAAATTTGATTTGTTCTGCTTCCACACTTTCCCACTTTCTCTTTCTCCCTTTCTTGTCTTTCAGTGGCTTTGTTTTCCAGTCGGTTAGAGGACAAACCTTCTTAGTGACTGCCTTGAGTGTCTTCCTATATGTTGTAAAAGTTGCTTTAGTTTTTCAGTAACTGGATAATTATCATAATTAGCAGTTTACTGTTTTAGTTTTATTTGAATGAAAAACTGTTACAGTTGCAAATGTTGTAAAAAAAAATGTTTTGTTTGTTCATTAGTTCTAAAATTATCACTGATCAAATCTGTTTTTGTTTCACTGTTTCTGTTATTAGAATTGTTCAAAATAAAGACTAGTTAGAACGTTCAAATGTTGTTCAGAATTTTTTTTTTTCTTGTGTGGTTTCGTGGACAGAGCAGTTCTGAATTGATATACATAGTATATGGACTATGTAGTGTCATTTAGAGTCTCTAAATAGCCATTTTGAAAGGATTCCTAAACTTTTCTTGAAATAAAAGCTTACAGAAACTACAGTTTTGAAAATACCATAAAGATGTCATTTCTGTACACTTTTACTTCAAAAAAGCTTTTATTTCAGCATTTATTTCAAGAAAAGTCTAGGCGTCCTTTCAAAAATGCCATTTGGAGACTCCAAATGGACACCTGGTAACTAAATGAGTCAACACTACAAATGTTATTCTGAATGTTTCTTGTGTGGTTTGGTGGGCAAAGCAGTTCTGAATTGACATACATGTATGTATAATGTAGTTTTGACTCATTTGGTCATTTGGTTACCAGGTGTCCATTTGGAGTCTCCAAGTGGCCTTTTTGAAAGGACGCCTAGACTTTTTTAGGAAAAAAGCTAACAGAATCTACATTTTTGGGAGTATCATCCTCAAATTTGAATCAAAACATGGTCAGAGATTCAGCTTTACCTTTGTGGTATTTTCAGGCCTTTGACATAAAAGTTTCATCCATTTTTCCCTTGGTGAAGATTCATTCAAATAAATCGTAAGTCACTTTCATGTATATTTGACCATGTTTTACTCTGTTGCTACACTACTTTTGAGTTATTATGACTCTTGGGTAACAAAGTTTCAAGTGTCTAGTTTCAAACAAGACCAGATTTGTGAATATAGACCACAGGGTTCAAGAGCTACAGACATTTTGATTTGGGTATGTCGTTTTTCAGAAAATTCTTAAAAATAGGGGCGCAGGTTAAGTGGTTAACATCATGATAATAGTCATTAAATTAAATAATTACTATTTTACAGCTCTAGAAAAAAAATTTGAGACTACTCCAAATTTTTCTTAAAGCAGCAATCTTTTTATCAAGGAAAAGTATAAAAACCACTGCTGTGGTCATCACTGTCCTCTCGCAGTAGGACCAGCGGGATGGCAAAAACTGTGCTAGTAGTACCTCAAAAGTAATTGTAATCAAATAATAACTATTGACCATGCCAAAAGAGTTGAAAAAAAGTTTTCAGTGGGAAAAGAAGGGTTCAATTCTGGCTTTATTGGCAGGGATACAGTGAGCATCAGGTTGCTTATATTCTTAAAATTTCGAAGACTGCAGTTCATAAGAACAAGGTCAAGCTGCAGACATTGGGGACAACAAAGCCACAGACCTCCAGAGGGTGAAAATGACTCTCCACTGACTGGGATGACCGCCAACTCATTCAAATGTCACTCAGCAACCATAGGATGACATCAAGTGAACTACAAAAAGAACGGCAAACAGCACAGCGAGGATGGCTCAAAACAGGCTCCCGGGGCAGGGCAAAGCTTTACCAACACATGGTCATCTAATAGTTAGATGGAGACCTGGAGAGGCCTACAAGCCACAGTGTCTCGCACTGTGATGATCTGGGCATGTTTCTGCAAGCCTGGAATTGGGCACATTTGTCTTTGTGAATGGCGCATGAATTAAGCCACGTACAAGGTGGAAGAAAACTTGCTTTCTTTCTGCTCTGACAATGTTCCCCAACTCTGAGGATTGGTTTTCCCAGCAGAACAATGCTCCATGCCACACATCCAGGTCAATCAAAATATGGATGGAGAGCAACCAGATCAAGACCCTGTCATGGCCAACCTAATCTCCAGAACTGAACCCCATTGAAAACCTCCAGAATGTGATCAAGAGGAAGATGGATGGTCACACGCCATCAAATGAAGCCAAGATGCTTGATTTTTTGCACCAAGACTGGTGGAGAACATGCCAAGAAGCATGAAAGCTATGATTGAAAATCAGGGTTATTCCACCAAATATTGATTTCTGAACGCTTCATAAGTTAAAACTTTGTGATTCTCAAATATTTATTTCTGAACTCTTCTTAAGTTAAAACCTTAGTATTGTGTTGTTAAAAATGTTTTCTTTGCATTATTTCAGGTCTAAAAACGCTGCATCTTTTTTGTTATTTTGACCAGTTGTCATTTTCTGCAAATAAATGGTCTAAATGACATTTGGAATTTGGGAGAAGTGTTGTCAGTTGTTTATACAATAAAACCAAAATGTTCATTTTACTCAAACACATACTGATAATTTTGCAGTGGTATTTAATTTTTTCCAGAGCTGTATATTGGATTTCCATATTTTAAGATTGAAAGTCTTAAAAATATAAAATAATAAAATCTATACATTAGATGTGTATGTGTGTATGTTCCTGTTTAGTTCCTGTTTGTCCTTATTTGGTCCTTACTGTTCCTGTCCCCATTTAGTTCTATTAGTTCCAGGTGTTTCTCATTATTAGTTATCCTCCTCACCTGTCTGCCCCTCGTTATCTGCCCTATTTGAGTTCTAGCCCATTCTGTTCTCCATTGTCTGGAATTGTTGATGTCAACCCTTGCTACGTGTGTTTTCCTGTTTCCCTGGATATTATTAAAGTCAATAAGTTTGAATTCGACTCTGCGTCTCCTCGTTCCTCGCTCCGTGCTCCTCACAGTAGCAAACCGTGATAGAATTCCAGACCCAACAAAATAGTAAGTGGTGCCCCTACTCCCCGTTTTGTTTTCATTTGTTGAAAGTTTTTTTGTTTTCCCAGTTTCTCCCCGCGGCTATGGAAGTTGCCGCTCGGTTCGCCGCCCTAGCTTGCCTGGATCTCCCGTTTGTGGAGTATGCATGGGAGTTCTGCGAGATCGCTGCGAGTATGGCATTAGATGACGCCACACTCAACTCGCTGTTCCGGATCGGGGCTAATTACCATTGCCCCGTGGACCTCCCAGACACCACTGGACTAAGCTGGAGGGAAGGGATCCTCCGAGAGCGTCTGGAGAGCGTCCGGCCCCGATCCTGATCCAGCTCGCCGTCAAGTCCGCCAAACTCTCCTACATCAAGCCCGCCAGCCGCCACTGACTCAGGCCCGCCGGCCACCACTGACTCAGTGCTCTTGGACATGGCGCTACCTCCAGAGTTCTCAGCTCCTATCCTCACCCCAGAATCCGCTCCAGAAAGTTCTCCTTCGTCTCCGCTGCTCCCGTCCAGCTCTTCATCGTCTCCTGAGTCTCTTTCGCCTCTGCTGGTCCCGTCCAACCCTCCTTCATCTCCTGAGCCCCCCCGAGTTAGCCAGCCCTGCTCCTCCAGAGCGCCCTCCAGTGCCCGCTTCTCCAGAGTGCCCCCCAGAATTCCTCATTTTCCCCAAGAAAATTGGGGGGGAGGAGGCATATGCCCGTGGTCGAGCCGGCTAAGGTCACGGAGGATCCGCCATGGCAACCTGAACTGTCTGTTCCGCCATGGCCCCCTGAACTGCCTGCTCTGCCATGGCCCCCTGGACTGCCCGATCCACCATGGCCTCCCGAGATCCCTGATCCGCCATGGCTCCTCGGACTGCCTGATCCGCCCTGGAGGCCTTCCCTGTGTCCCTGTCTTGCACCAGCCTCCAGGGTGGTATTGTTACGGCGTGTGATGCGCCTTCCGGGAGGGGAGATTAATGTCACGTGTATGTTCCCTTTTAGTTCCTGTTTGTCCTTATTTGGTCCTTCCTGTTCCTGACCCCATTTAGTTCTATTAGTCAAAGGTGTTTCTCATTATTAGTTATCCTCCTCACCTGTCTGCCTCTCGTTATGTTCTCCCTTGTCTGGAATTGATGTCAACCCTTGCTACGTGTGTTTTCCTGTTTCCCTGGATATTATTAAAGTCAATAAGTTTGAATTCGACTCTGCGTCTCCTAACTCTGTGCTCCCCACAGTAGCAAACTGTGACAACATATAAGTCATTTGAAGAGCATGAAAAATAAACCATAAAGGCAAGGAAAAATGTTTCCATGTTTTTAATGTGATCTTCATTTAACAAAAGAAAAGATAATATATGTGAATGTCAGTTGTTGAAGAAATATAAAAAGACAAGGCAATTCAAATAATAAAGTAAATGCTAAAAAAAAAAAGACAGAACGGTTATGCAGCTGAAACTGTTGTAAATCCAGCTGCAGCTGAAAATGAGTGTATTTTAGAAAACCCACCTAACACAGATAGGCTAAAATTAACAAAACAACATTGACTTTATTCAAGTAACAATCATAAGAATTATGTCTATAAAAATGAGAACAGATGAAGCTCAGATAAACACAGATAAAAAAAAAAAAGGTGATTCCCCATCCATTGTGTCGAGCACTGAGAAAATGTAGCTCACTTCCATCATGGGTCGGGTAGAAGTTAAATGAGTTTCCAGAAGGTTGTCCCACTTTAAAAGATTGGCCTTGACTAGTGACTCATAGCTCATAGATGTAGCCATAGTCGTACTTTCCAGACACCTGAACGATGTATTAGTTGTCAAGAAGTGTCATCGCCATCGGAGTGCCATAGTTTGCACAAACAAGTGTTGTCCAGTTACCATCATAACTCAGCTGGATTCTAAACAGATATGTGTCGTCAGTGTTCAAATAGATACACACAATGCAAATGACTTAATTAATTTTACATTAAGTCACAATAAAACACATCTTAATTACTTTGGCACTCTTTTCGTCTGGATAGGTGATCAGTGCTGCATTGGTTCACTTACCCACCAATGTGTGCGTTACTGTATTCCCAGATTCTGATACCAGTGATGCGACCCGCATGTGCAGTAGAATATTCAGTCCCACTGCCGTCCCCAGCAGCCAGGGAGTAAGAGTAGAAATCAAGTAAAGCTGAAAGAGGGAATAACATCTAAAAGTCTGTCTGTATTATTATTATTATTATTATTATTATTATTATTATTATAAAATTGTTATTAATATAAATTATTACTATTATTATTATTATTATTATTATTATAATTACCGTTTTAATTATCTTATTTAAAACTTTTTTTTTGCAAACATTCAAAATCATGCTGCAAAAAAAGTATACAGTATATAATTTTCTAAAAGCCAAATTTTTTTTTTTTTTTTACAGTGTGATTTTGCATGTTTGCAAAAAAATGTAAATAGAATACAATGGTAAAAATAAAAATCACTAAAGTGGTATGTGATACTCACGCCCACTGTACAAACTCCAGAGAGAACCAGAATAAGATTCAACATTTTGGAAAAAAGCTGCTGTCCAGTACACGACAATAATCTAATTGAAACAAAACAGATGCTTATGAAACAGTAAATACACTCTTAAGAATAAAGGTGCTTAAAAGGTTCTTCACAGCAATGCCATAGGAGAACCATTTTTGGTTCCACAAAGAACCATTCAGTTAAAGGTTATTTAAAGAACCATCCATTTCTTACCTTTTCATAATCTGAAGAACCTTCTTTCACCACAAAGAACCTTTTGTGAAACAGAAAGGTTCTTCAGATGTTAAAGGTTCTCTAATTGAAACAAAACAGATGCTTATGAAACAGTAAATACACTCTTAAGAATAAAGGTGCTTAAAAGGTTCTTCACAGCAATGCCATAGAAGAACCATTTTTGGTTCCACAAAGAACCATTCAGTTAAAGGTTATTTAAAGAACCATCCATTTCTTACCTTTTCATAATCTGAAGAACCTTCTTTCACCACAAAGAACCTTTTGTGAAACAGAAAGGTTCTTCAGATGTTGAAGGTTCTTTATGGAACCATTTAGAAAAAAAGGTTATTCTATGGCATCATGAAGCACCTTTATTTTTAAGAGTGTACTGCAAGAACTATCTCCCTACTGTATGCCATTGTAAGTTGGATCTGCATCTTGTTATCACTGTGCAATTTGCTTTACATCCCTTTATATCACTAGGTAGCAGTTTCCAACATCTAACTACATTACATATTGACAGAATGTTGATTAGTGTTTTCGTATATACCTAAGAACATTTCGATGATAAAAGATAATCACTGGAATTTTAGAAATATAAAGTTATTACCTACAGTTATACTTGATGTGGTTGATATTTGAGCAGTCTGGTTTGCTTACTAATCCTTCCTGCATTTATATTCTCCTCCTAGTCAAACCTCTTCTATTGGACAAGGTATGATTGTCTTTCTGTCTCAATTATGACACACCTCAAATAGAATGTTTTGGAATGCAAAACAAGTTTTGGTCCAAATGCAAAGAATGATTAGAATAATATTGTCACAGATCAAGCCGGAGACAAAAGGTAAGTGAATGAAAGGCAGGTTTATTGACAGGTATGGCAAAGGCAGATAGCCTGGAGCAATGGCAGTTGAGAATTCAACACAAAGTAAAGTCCAATGATTCTTAGCGGTGTATTGATGTTTGGTTCTTTGTAGGTTCGCAGAGAATATGGGATCCAGGAGCAGAGGAGAACAATGATGGAAGATCTTCGGAGAACTAGAGGTAAGAATAAACAGGTAATTTGCATTCAGTGAGTCTGGTAAAGTTCTGTGTAGTGAACGGTAGACCAGACGGTGAGTGACTGGAAGGAGCGTGCTTATCGTACTACAAGATGGCGGCGCGTTCACACGCTGCGGCTTCTCTCTCTCCCGACAGAAAGGTGTTTTTTGTCTTGTGAGTCGCAGTGTTTTTGTACGTATTCGTCGCGTCTATCTGTCTCTAAGCGTGCATACAGGCGTGAGTTTCTGCTCGATGTCGGCAGAACCACATTTTTAGAGTTAAACTCTGCGCACGCCGAAGAGCTGCGGGATCTCGGTCTGCTCCGGAGGCCCACACCATCACCGACCCCCACTACTGCATCTCGGGCAAAAAGACAGTACTCCAGGAGGATAGCCCATCGTTTCAGCGACAGCAGAGACACTCTGAGCCTGTGGCAGGGGATACAGACCATTATGGACTACAAGCCCCCACCATGCACCTGTGACAGCACCATCTCCCTGCTGAACGAGCTGAACGTCTTCTTCGCTCGCTTTGAGGCACAAAACAGCACCACTGCACAGAAGACTCCACCTCCTCCCGGCGACCAGGTGATGACGCTGTCCCCGGACAACGTGAGGAGATCCCTCAGCAGGATCAATGCACGCAACGCTCCGGGTCCTGACAACATTCCTGGGCGTCTACTGAGAGACTGTGCAGTGGAACTCACCGATGTCTTCACAGACATTTTCAACATCTCGCTAAGCCAGGCTGTTGTCCCCACATGCTTCAAAGCTACCACCATCATTCCAGTCCCAAAGAAGTCGTCTCCATCCTGCTTCAATGACTACCATCCAGTTGCACTTACCCCCATCCTCATGAAGTGCTTTGAACGGCTAGTCATGCACCACATCAAGTCTGCCCTCCCCCCCTCCCTGGACCCCTTCCAGTTTGCATATCGGTCCAACCGCTCGACCGATGACACCATCGCCACTACCCTCCACTCAGCACTCACACACCTGGACAAAAAAGACTCATACGTCAGAATGCTGTTCATAGACTTCAGTTCCACTGCACAGAAGACTCCACCTCCTCCCGGCGACCAGGTGATGACGCTGTCCCCGGACAGCGTGAGGAGATCCCTCAGCAGGATCAACGCACGCAAAGCTCTGGGTCCTGACAACATTCCTGGGCGTGTACTGAGAGACTGTGCAGTGGAACTCACTGATGTCTTCACAGACATTTTCAACATCTCGCTAAGCCAGGCTGTTGTCCCCACATGCTTCAAAGCTACCACCATCATTCCAGTCCCAAATAAGTCGTCTCCATCCTGCTTCAATGACTACCGTCCAGTTGCACTTACCCCTATCCTCATGAAGTGCTTTGAACGGCTAGTCATGCACCACATCAAGTCTGCCCCCCTCCCTGGATCCCTTCCAGTTTGCATATCGGTCCAACCGCTCGACCGATGACGCCATCGCCACTACCCTCCACTCAGCACTCACACACCTGGACAAAAAAGACTCATATGTCAGAATGCTGTTCATAGACTTCAGTTCAGCATTCAACACAATCATCCCTCAACAGCTCATTCACAAACTGGTCCAGCTGGGGCTCAATACTTCGCTGTGCAACTGGCTGTTGGACTTTCTGACTGGTAGACCTCAGGCAGTTCAGGTAGGCAGCAACACATCCAGCACCATCACAATGAACACTGGGGCCCCCCAAGGATGTGTGCTGAGCCCCCTCCTCTTCACTCTGCTGACCCACGACTGCACACCGTCACACAACTCCAACCTCTTCATTAAGTTTGCGGATGACACGACTGTAGTGGGTCTCATTAGCAACAGAGATGAGACAAACTACAGGAGCGAGGTGAGCCGCCTGGCCGGGTGGTGCAGTGACAACAATCTCTCTCTGAATGTGGAGAAGACGAAGGAGATTGTTGTTGACTTCAGGAGAGTGCGCACTCAGCATGCTCCTCTGACCGTCAATGGTGTGACTGTGGAGAGGGTGAGCAGCACCAAGTTCCTGGGTGTGCACATCACAGAGGACCTCTCCTGGACTGACAACCCCGCAGCACTGGCCAGGAAAGCACAGCAGCGTCTCTACTTCCTCCGCAAACTAAGAAGAGCCAGAGCCCCGGCCCCCATCATGTGCACCTTCTACAGAGGCACCATCGAGAGCATTCTGACGAGCTGCATCACTGTGTGGTATGGCGCCTGCAACGCGTCCTGCCGCAAGACACTTCAACGCATAGTGAGAGCAGCAGAGAAGATCGTTGGTGTCTCTCTCCCCTCCCTCCAGGATATTTATGGAACCCGTCTCACCCGCAAAGCCCTCTGCATTGCAGGTGATCCCACCCACCCAACACACAGCTTCTTTAGTCTGCTGCCATCAGGGAGGAGACTGCGGAGTCTCCAGGCCAGGACCAGCAGACTGAAGGACAGCTTCATCCATCAGGCTGTCAGGAAGCTGAACTCCCTCCCGACCTTGCCCCCCCTCCCCTCTTTTGCCCCACGCACCACTGAACTCTGACCCTCTGACGGACTCTCCCACTCCCCCCTCCCAAATACACACACACACTGTCACTTTAATCAGTCTAAATAAGCTCTTTTGCACTAC